AAGAAATTTTCCCACAGGACCTACAAATACAGTACTACATGATGTTGGTCCATCAATGCCTTCTATAAGGTGACACAAAAATAATTCATTCGAATGAAGCATGCATATGGCCCAGTGGCACTTGTGACCTAACAGCTTTTCAAGATGTATTTCCAGCCTGTGTTAATTGAAGTACTGTCAGCTCCAAGTACTAAACATGATTCAGTAAGATTATGTTGTTGCAGCAAATTATAAACACCTTCAGCAATTTTTTTAGCTAGCTTATCTAGATGATTAGGTGCATTGGGGGTAAAATGGCCAAAATATCGACCACCAGGTTCTATAGTCACAGTAATGTGCTGCTCTTTGATAATAATAGGATCTAGCTGTCCATTTGAATCATTTATCATTGCTCTTGTTGAATCTTTCCTTCCGTCAAAGTAAATGGCAATATTATCTGCTTTCGGAAGTTTTAAATTATCATTTATCTTCGCAACTACCATCACCTTTTTTCTCTCTCTCGTCAACTTAGAAGGATCACAAGCAAGGTAAGAGGACTCAGGGGTGAGAAATCCTGCTTCAATTAAATCTTGAAGATAACTTGTAGAAATTGCTGCAGTTGTGGCAGGTGAAATCCCAAACCTGATTATAGCTGTGTTTTTTATTGACATTGTGTTATATCTTGACTTCTTTTCTAAAAACCGTGTTACAAGGAAAGCATAGACACCTAACTTTTCCTTTAGCAGCCTTTTAACCAAAAGCAAGACAATTTCATTGTCTTGTTTTAAAGTTAAGTTAACATTATCTAGATTATAGTTTTCATCGAGAAAGCCAGGAAAAATATTTTTTTGATGTTCTTTATCTAATTCTATATCTTCTTCTTTTGCGACCTAAAACCAAATTAAAACCAAAATACATACAAATAATACAAAATACAAATCTTTTTTCATATAATAATAATAATAATAACAATAATATATATATATATATATATATATATATATATATATATATATATATATATATATATATATATATATATATATATATATGTATATATATATATATACATATATATATATATGTATATATATATATACATACATATATATATATATATATATATATATATATATATATATATATTATTGTTATTATTATTATTATTATATGAAAAAAGAAAATATTTATTATTAAGAAATTATATTTACCTCGAAGAATGCCTGTTCCTCCTCTATTTTTTTAATTCTTTTCTCGTAAGCTTCTTCATCGCTGACTTTTCTCTTATACTTTTTTCTTAGTTTCATTATCTCAATCTTATTAGCATGTCCCATCTATGTCAGACTTTTCACCTGTCTTATTTCTTTGACTGTATTATACAGTCAGGTGGTTATACAGTGTATAACAATGTATAACAGGTGGTTATACAGTGTATAACCACCTGAGCTCCATAGTTGGAATTTTTTTAGAATAAATACAGGTGCAATTTATATGTGCTTTATTTTTACAATTTTTGGGGCAAGAACACCCAAACAGATCATGCTCGCATAGAAGTATTGTGTGAGGACATGTTATAAGGTCCATTAGTTTATCTAACTTCAATATTAGCTCTTCTTTTACTTTTACCTTAGTTCTTCCCCATGCAACGTTTTCTACTTTCTCCCAAAGTGTTTTTATTCTATAATAAAGCAATTTCTCCCCAATAATAACTGGTTGTTGAAATAAAATACTTGCTTTTTTCCACTGAGCAAGAACAAGTGGAATTAGATCGTTAGCAAGATCTTTGTTAGAATATTTATTTTGGTGTAAATTGCATGTTATGCTTTTTTGTCCTTTTAATAAAATTCCTTTTTGAATAACTGCTCTGTTTGTAGGCAGCTCACTAGGAATATAATAAATAATAAAATATTTACAGACTACGATCTTGTTTAGATGTTTTTTACGGTGGAGAGCTAAGAATTTCTTTAAAAATTGATTTGGCACTGCGCTCATTATGAGAAACTAAACATAAAACCGGATTAAATTTACTTTATAATAATTAAAGTATATTTCATTTTAATAATGTCTAAATATGAAAATTTGGGTATCAAAACGTTTTCTAATCAAAAAGTTGTCAATAGCAAACCTACCTTAAAATTTAATTTTACATAAGAATACACCTTTTCCTAAGCTTTAATTTTATTTTTTTCAAAAACATATGAAATTCACTGTACCCTAGTGGTCATGGATGAGGAAATTAAAGGAAGCACCAAGTTCCCAAACATTGAGTATTCTTTTGTACCTCCGTTGATAAATAGTTATAAGGAATTGCAAGTAAAAGTTGTGAATGGAACAGATATGGTTGTCAATAAGTCAGGCTGGAGAGATGAAATGAAATTCTTGCATCATCTGACACTTGTCTTCAAGTTCAATGAAGAAAAAGGATATTTTTCACTTGTTAACTTTCAAAAAATTTCTAATATTAGTAATGCACGTTGGAATTCAAGAGCCGTCTTTGCCATTCTTGCTTTTGTTCTTATATCTAAAACAAGGCCAACATTTTGTATGACTGGGCAAAGTATTGGTTTGCTGATCAATTTTACAACAAGGTATCATAACTTAGGTATCATAAATAGAATATCATAACTTGTCACAAATGCTAAAACCCTACAAAAAGGGGTTACAGGTGTTGGAGAAACATCGGAAACAGGAACCATCAGCACTGAAGATACCAAGAAGAAACCAGAGTACAGAACATGAAATAAAAGTGGTGCAGGAATTGTATTCATTCCGAATAGTTTAAAATTTATTGAAATAACTATTTTTTTCTTTGGTTTTGAGTAGTTATTGATTATTCATCATTTTTTTCTTTGGTTTGAGTTTCATCAAACTGACATACAGGAATATGAGGTTGTAAAAAGGTTATATTCCTAATGTAAATATACATATAGTATCAAGGGCTATTCTAAAGCATTTTCGACAGCGTCGACTGTATTTAAGCGCTAATTTGGCACTGCCCAAATTAAAAAATGAGGACCTTTTTTTTTTTTTTTTTTTTTTTTTTTTACATTTTTTATGCCAATAATTGTTTTTTTTCGTGAAAAAACTCTTATATTTGGCAATATTTCCTCCGGGACTGGGGGTACCTCCTCCCAATTTTTTTTCCTATTATAGCCCCTGAGTATATATATATATAGTATATTTATATATATATATATATAACATATATAAATATATATATATATATATATATGTATATATATATATAAATATGTATATATGTATACATATATATACATATATATATATGTATACATATACACTAATTGAACTATATGCACTATATGTATACATACTCTATACACTACCTAATTAACAAACAATCACATCACTTACTGCTTATTTGCTACTTATTGGGATTTACTGTATTTTTGCTTTTATTTTTACAAAAATCATGGACTTACTGTTTCTTTTCTTAATTTAAAATGCTCATTTTCAATGTTATATATTGGATTTGCTGCTTTTTTATCGCAATGGTACATTCTTGGTAGCATTATCTCAATTGATATTAACCACATAATTCGAATGGTTGTACTTTTCAAAATAAGATATCATAGTTTTACTTACTATTAGAAGAAAACTTTAAACAAAGTCTACCTGAATTATATGTTATTTTCCTTTTTATTAGGTTTACAAAAAAATTAATATAAGTCTGATTGATTAATTTATAATTTACTTGCCTTTTAATCACCCTTAGCAACAATAACCACCATACATATTCTTGGCATTCTACTTAACAACTTATCCAATTTGTCGAAGTCAATTTTATGCCACTAACTAATAAGTTTTGTTCACATCTTATGCATCATTTGACATTAGTTTTTGACATCACTTTTAATTCCTCCTATTAAAATCCGATGGGAGAGAGATCTTGTGATTGGGGAGGCAAAAACATTTTATTTAATATTTGATCGTTCTCAAACTCAGTCAAATAACTTGAACAAATTTTTGAAAAGTATGTTTTAGATTTAATCATTTTCTTTTGAAAAAATGAAAAGATTCTCATTAACCCATCTTTCTAAAGGTGTAGCATAATTTTTTAAGTGTACAAGTAAACTACATTTGTCATTACTCCCTCTATGTTCAAAAAGTCACCTGTGGTATTCCAACCAAAACAGCCCTACACCTTAACACTACATCCACTATGTTTTACAGTCAATGATACACATTGTTTTATCATAAGTTCAACTATTTTTTTCCAGACAATCAATCTTATCTTGAAACCAAAGGTTTAAAATTTTAACATGTTGGTCCGCATTTACAGTCATTGATGGTCCATTTTCTATGCAGTTTTGCCAATTTTAGCATTTTTATTATTCTAATAATTTTTATCAAAGTATTTTAACCAAAATACTTTTAAATTAATTAATATTGCAAAAATAAACATAAAAAAAAGTTAAATAAAAAATAGCATTTTTTAAAAAAGTGAATGCTGTTCGAATAATTATGAACGGTAGTGTATATAGTATATATATGTATATATATATATATATATATATATATATATACTATATTTATATATACTATATATAGTATGTATATAATATATATATATATATATATATATATATATATATATATATATATATATATATATATATATATATATATATATATATATATATATATATATATATATATATATATATATATATATATATATATATATATATATATATATATATAGTATATTAAATATATACTATATATATATATAATAATATATATATATATATATATGTATATATATATATATAATATATATATATATAATATATATATATATATATATATATATATATATATATATATATATATATATATATATATATATATATATATATATATATATATATATATATATATTCTGAGCTATAGTGTTATTAGTGGTTTATGTATAATAAGTTTGTTTGACAGCTGTACAAAAAGTATTACTCAGTCCTTAGTTAGATGAACTTGTATAAAAAGTTTATTATATTTAGGGTCGATATGAAGTAGCTGTTCCACTTTGCAAACAAGCTCTTGAAGATTTAGAAAAAACTTCAGGGCATGATCATCCTGATGTTGCAACTATGTTAAACATTCTTGCTTTAGTTTATAGGTATATTTTTTTGTTATTATTTTGCAGTTTCTAAAGTTTTTTTTAAATTGTAATGAATCTTTTTTTACATTAATAGAGATCAAAGTAAATATAAGGAGGCTGCCAATCTTTTAAATGATGCTTTGGCTATTCGTGAAAAAACTCTTGGTCCTGATCATCCAGCTGTAGGTTTTTATAACTTTAATATTATCTTTAAATCATTTTTAGAAAATTGTTTGATTATTACATTTATTTGTATATATTTGCATAAATTTCTATATATATTTGCATAATATTTAATAATCTATAAAGTTATATTAGCTTATTAACTTCTAATGTAATAACTTAGTAATATAAAATAATATTAAATAAACAAAACTTAGTAATAATAAATAATACACTGTTCAAATATTAGAAACTTGTATTTTTTTTTTCTTTACCTTTTCACCCAACTTGTTTATCTACAGCCATGTGATACATCGGCACAACAGCCATGTGACACATTGGGATAAAACTGTACATATTAAATAATAAATGTGATACATTGGCATAAAACTGTACATATTAAATAAGCTAAAATAGTGTTGTGTCTTTTAATCTAAACTGCTTTCTTTTAGTTTTGTCAAGTTCTCTTGTGTCCTGTCAATTATTATTATTGTCACTGTTACTCAATGTATATTTGTTGATTTTATTAAAATGGTATATAAATTAGTTATAAATTTTTGTATTTTCAAACAAAATATTACCGCCAATACAATTTAACACATGCAAGGTCTTTGCAAAAGAAGGTCTTAGTAATCATTTAGGGGATATGGCAAGAAATATAAACAACTTGTTTTTAAATTATTATTTCATTTTTATTATGTGTATGTATCTTTAAAGGTTGCTGCTACTTTAAACAATCTTGCAGTATTGTATGGTAAGCGAGGCAAATATAAAGAAGCTGAACCTCTTTGCAAAAGAGCACTAGAAATAAGAGAAAAGGTTTTTTATTTTATTTTTTAAGAGAATAAATTTACTATTATTTACAATTTGTTAACAAAATTAATTTGTAATTAAGTTTTTTTACTAGATTATTTTAACAATAGGTTTTGGGAAAAAATCATCCTGATGTCGCAAAACAGTTGAACAATTTGGCGCTTCTCTGTCAAAATCAAGGAAAATATGATGAAGTATTTATTTATATTAACACAAAAATATGTTTTAAATATGTTTCAAAAGATATAGCAATACGTTTGATGAAGATTTATTGTTTTGTTAAATACACAAAGTAGTCCTCAATTAATTAATTCAAGATTAATGAAAATGTAAACAGATTTAATGTTTGCAGATCTTAAAAAACAATATTTTAAAGTCACTAATCTGTTGAAGTTAAAATTATAACTGCTTTTCCTAGATTTTTAAACCAATTTTAATTAAATCACTGGAAAACATCAATAATTAAGTAAAATCATTTTTTATTTTAAAAGAATTGCATGTAGTAAACTACATCAATATGTAGGTAATCTTTTCAAACCTGATGTCTATGGTGAAATTTCTCTACCATTGTTGCAACCTTTACTTTTATTTTTGAAACAATATTTATAATATTTTTAGGCAATTTTTCTGATCCAAGACTTTTAAAATAAACATTCTTTATTTATTTTTATAATATCTTTAACAACTGAAACCAGATTATAAACTAAGGTTTTGTATTTGAAGTGATTTAGTTAAAATAAAATTTAATTACAAAGATAAGCAGGTAGGATTTGAATTTTAACAGATTTGTAACCTCGACATGAAGTTCTTATAGAATCTGCAAATAATTTTAGTTGACATTTTTGTTGGTCTTGAATTTATTGAAAGCCACTGTGAATATCTGATTATTTAGGTGAAATTCTAAATTGAAATCCAAAACATTATGATACTAAATCTTTGGTATTTTAATATTTTTATTATATTAAATGTATATATTAAATTTTGAATTTGTATTATATATTTAATTTAAATTGTGAGTTTGAAGTATTAAGTTGGGTTAGTCATAATGTAGGAATAAATACTAGCAAAATATATAGTCTATGTTTTAATATCAAGAAGGGGCTATATTGACACAAGTGCTATTACAACTTAGATTAACTAATTAATGGTCCGTAATTACAATAATAGATATATTATTGTAATTACGGACCATTAATTACGGTCCGTAATTACAATAATAGATATATTATTGTAATTACAGATGAATCACTCTAACATGAAGGGCATAAAAGATTGAAAGGAAATTAATAAAAAAATTAAAGTTTTTGAAGTAATGATTTAAAGTTGTTTTTATTTATTTTAATAAATCTGCTAGTATGTGTAGCAAATTCACTCCCAACAAGGTTGTAAACAACCATGTTAAAGGTGAGAGTTAATAAAAAGGGTGCAAGCAATCATATTGAAGTTGGGAGTTAATAGAAAGCAAAGAAGAGAGTTAAAAATTGAAAAAATGACAGTCAACCATTCAAATAGAAAAAATAAAATAACAGAAGACTTAAAAAACTGTAAACTGTATAAGTTAGAAAAATATGAAGGTTGGAAGGAATTTCAAAACATTGATGTTCAAGGAAAAAAACTAGGCGAATAAAATCTTTTTGAACAGTTATAGCAAAAGCTGCTTTGCTAGATGACAAGTCATTCAACATTAAATTTTGGTTGATAGATTTAGAGATAAAAAGTTGTTTGAGCAGCTACTATAGAAGTATTTGTAGAATAGACAAAAAAAGGCAAGCTCACTACAATGAAAAAGAAGCACAAGCTGGGCAGCTTAAGCAGGTTTAACTATATTTGCAATTTATTTTAGACTTTGTCCAAGTTATGAAGGGCATCATTAGAAGAACTAGCCAAACTATTATAATAATATTGCATACAAGGATGAATAAGAGATTTATAGAAGTAAAGAATAAAAAAAGGAGTAAAGAAATAGCAAGCAAAATAAAGAGACTGTTGCCTAAAGGTAACTTTAATACTATAAAAAAATTGAGAAATTATAGAAACTTTTATAGATACACCATTATGGAGAAGACAAGCATGTCAGACTTGAGATAAAGACAAGCATGTCAGACTTTATCAAAAACTTTTGTGTCAAAGCAATAGCCCTTGCTTCACTGGTTTCTTCTAATTTTCAATAAAACCTTTTTGTTTGTCAACAAGTCAGTAGGAAATTGAAAAGATCGAAATCTATAATGATTTTCAGAGAGTAAGCATAAGATATTAGAAGAATCTGAGATTAACATCATCTAGTTTGTTAATCTTGAGACTAAAAGACTAAAAATAGTAAGAGTCAATAGTTAAAGATAATCAGAGTGATCTTCTGAGTTTATATAAATTGGAACTGCGGTTCCAATTTATGTAAATTGTCAATTGTCAATTTTCAGCAGGAAGGAAACCAAGATTCAATTAAGCAATAAATATTAAATTGTTTAAAGAGTTTACAAGAGAGTTGAAAGAACAAGAAAAGTTCAAGAGAGACAAGAGATTTCTGAAGAACACTTTTGTAAGATTGTGACAGGAATTCTTACCTTTTTTGTTTAGAGAGTTTACAAGAAAATTCTGAAGAACACTTTTGTAAGACTGTGGCTGTGACAGGAATCCTATGCAACCACAAAGACGTTTAACTGTCTAAGCTGCAAAGAAGTTTAACTGAGAAATAACTTTAAAAGCGAAAGCTTTTGTGTTAACCATGATTAACCTGTTTGTCTGGGATGACAGGAATTGTGCGATCATTAGATTTAAGATATGAGTTAGAAGAAGGGTTCTTGCAAATAGTTGTCTTATCCTTGAAGGTATTAGGATCAAAGTCAGAATTAACTTCATAAAGGCTTTGCTTAAAAAGACAATTCTTTCAAGTCAGCAGGTTGTACTGGATTACATGTATCCATGATCAGGGTGATCATAAATGCGCTTGAATAAGTTAAATATTATTAATAAAGTTGTAAAAGTTTTTTTTTTATTATTGGTTTTTTTATATGTACATTTGAAATTATGGTTTTAACCTCAGAAACAACCAGGTCAAACAAGTTTTTGACTATTTTAAAATTTGCATGGTGATGATTGTTAAAGCATCTTTAAAATGTTAATTTTTCAAATTTCTTTTTTAGTAATAAGTATTTTTATAAAATTTCTTTTTTTTAACAAATATTTTGGTTTTATGGATATTTTTTGCAATATTATAATTGTAAATCAATTATTTGTTTTTGTAACAATTTTGTTAAATTGATGAATGACAATTAGTTATTTTTTATTAAGTTTGATTTAAATAATCACTTTTAGATAAAAAAATATTTTGCTTTTAAGTAATTAACTCGCTTTTGCTTCAGCATGGGGCTGGTGAATTTTTTTCAGCTTATCGTTATCGCAATAATAATCTAGATCTTCCATATTTATGAACGGTAATGTACTCAATGATTCATCTACTCTTCATCTTCTAGGATTAACTCTTTCTTCCAATCTTTCTTGGAAACCATATATCAAATTGATTGCAAAATTAGCATCTACTAAGGTTACATCTCTTTATCATGCTCCCCACTTTCTTACTCTGGATTCTATTCTTTATCTCTATAAATCTCAAATCCGTCCTTATATGGAATACTGTTGCCATATCTGGGGCAGATCTTCCAATGATGCCCTTTCTTTTCTAGACAAGGTGTAAAAACACATTGTAAATGTAGTTGGACCTGCTCTTGCAGCCAACCTCCAACCATTATCACATCGTCATAATGCTGCTTCACTTTCTCTTTTCTATAAATACTATAATGGGCACTGCTCTAAAGAGCTAGCGTCTCTTGTGCCATCTACTAAAATTCATTTTCGTGTTACTCGTCATTCAATTAAGTCTCATCTTTTTTCTGTGACTGTTCCTAAGTGCTCTTAAATTTTTATTCATATTTTCTAGTTTTTTTCTCTCAAACATCAATCCTTTGGAATTCACTTTCTTCATCCTGATTCATATAATTTGCAATCTTTTAAGTCGTCTATTAATTGTTATTTTGCTCTATAAACTTCATCTTTTTTCTTCCAGTAACTTCCAACTCAATGGTGGTTGCTTGCAGCCTTGTTGGAAGTAAAGATGTTGAAAAAAAAAATTAGTTCTACCACCAATGCATTAACAGAAAATAAAAAGTGTTACTTCTATGCAATTTTTAAAATTATAAAACAATTTGATAGTTAAAACAACCTACACATGTTCTTTCTAATAAATAGAATAAAAATTAAAACAAAAAATAACAACAAAATATCAAATATGCAAAATCAATTTCAGAATACACTTATAAATAATCCTTCAAACTCTTAAAAAGATAAGGTCAACCTCAGTCACCAAGTTTGTTAAAATCAATAATGCAAAATCGTATAGATTTTTAGGGACTCTGGACTCCGAGGTCAAAAAAAAAAAGGACTCCTTGGATTCAAAATTTTTTTTAAATAACTTTTAAATAAATTTTGAGCCAATTAATTGGAAAAACCTTGACAATGACAATCTTGGCCTAAGTATTTGTAGCTATGACAACGAAGGTTTTGTACGCTGCATAAGCTGTAAATGGCTTCTTAAACTTTTTAAAAGCTATAGGCGATGTATGCCATACACATTCTGCACATATTTAAATAATTTACATGCTAGAGGGCTTGCTAAATTCAGGACTAAGCAGGCAGGACTAAGGACTCTGGGTTCTGGACTCCAACTTTGCATCTCTAATTAAAATAGCTAACTTTACATTTTTAAAGCAATCAGAAAGTTATTGCTGTCATATTGCACACAAATTTTTTTTTTTTGTTGTTTGTTTTTTTTCATTAAAGTTGATCTTTTTTTAAAACTATTTTTAGGTGGAAATGTATTATCAGCGAGCATTAGAAATATATGAAACACAACTGGGACCTGATGATCCAAATGTAGCAAAAACCAAAAACAATTTGGTATAATTTCTAAAATTAGTACTTTTATATAATTTTCCTTTAATTAGACTAAACAAGTTATTTTTTATTAGTTAATATATAAAATGTAATAATATATTTTTAGGCCTCTGCTTATCTTAAACAAGGGAAATATAAGGCTGCTGAGGGGTTATATAAACAGGTATTTTAAACTCAATATGAAAACAAAAGAATCATTTATATATATATATATATATATATATATGTATATATATATATATATATATATATATATATATATATATATATATATATATATATATATATATATATATACAGTGGCGGAAAAAAGTCATGTGACCACAAATTTAGTTCATTTTACAGAATTTGTTATTTATATATACTTAAAATAATTTTTAAATTGAATATTTCTATACGTGATGCATAGTAAAGACCATTGTGAAGTTATTTTGATCAACTATTCTAAACACCTACGAATAATAAATCAATAACCATATTTTCAATCACAAATATCACAATTTTCAATGCCTGCATTACAGGCTAGCATAACATCCATATTAGTTTTAGAGTTCATTCAGTAAAATGTAGTGAATTCTTTTAATTTTAATAATTTAGATGATTAGACTGTGCACATTAGTCATTTTTGTACAGTTTTTAATTTTAATAATTTAGATCATTAGACTGTGCACATTAGTCATTTTGGTACAGTTTTTAATTTTAATAATTTAGATGATTAGACTGTGCACATTAGTCATTTTTGTACAGTTTTTAATTTTAATAATTTAGATGATTAGACTGCGCACATTAGTCATTTTTTGTACAGTTTGGCATTCTTAATCTTGAGATACATAAGTTGATATTGTGTAATGTTTGTACTGATCATAATTGTGTTTTCCATATGTTGCACAATAGTTGTTATTTGATATTTATATGTGTTATGATTAATAATTAATGATTTTACTTTGTTATTTATATTTATGTGATGTTTTAATACTGTCTTAAACTATTCTTGTGTTTTATTATAGATCTACTTACTAAAAAGTAATGAATTTATCTAATATATATATATATATATATATATATATATATATATATATATATATATATATATATATATATATATATATATATATATATATATATATATATATATATATATATATATATATATATATATATATATATATATATATATATATATATATATATATATATATATGTATATATATATATATATATGTATATATATAATATATATATATATATATATATATATATATATATATATATATATATATATCTGTGTGTGTGTGTATGTATATATTAAACAGAGAAACAAATTTTGTATATATTTGTTTGTTATATCAAACAATTTTTATACTAAAACTAAGTAAGATTCAATTTGTTGTTTTTAAAAAAGTATATTGTTTTAGGTCCTTACTCGAGCACACGAACGAGAATTTGGAAAAGATGATGAAAGTAGAGTAAGTAAATGTTAATAATTTAAGTTTTTCTTTTTTTTTAAACTAAACATTTTTGGTTTGTAACTATGATGTATTTGTTTTTAGAGAGGTAAAGATAATGCACCTTATGGAGAATATGGAGGTTGGCATAAAGCCGCCAAAGTAGACAGGTATTTTAAAAAATAATTTAAACAAGTATTTTAATTATAAAATATATATTATTATCAAATTTTCTTTCAATTTTTTTTTTTTTTCTAAATTGAAGTTGTTAAAGCTTTTTAAAAATTTATTTAAGCTACATATCTAGAGTTAAGAACCGAAATATGTATAGATTATATAATCAGAATATTTAAACATTACAAATATGTTAATTATGTCGTAAGTACTGCTTAAGAATGTTACAAAACTTTTTTTTAATGAAAAGTTTTAACTTTTGGAAGTGAATCAAAATTTGAAAAAGAAAAAAAAAAAGATCTTTTATGCAATACTATCATCACAGTGAATAGAAATATGCTCTAAGACCATATTCCAAACATGTAAAAAGCAACATTTTCACCGGGGAGAAACGTGTTTAGGTGAGTGAAATTTTATTGTTCAAAACAGTAGCTAAGTGGTATGTGGCATACAGAAATTTCTCAAATACTCAATTTTCTTATATATCGATACTGGTGTCAAATGAGCATGATTTACTAAATCATTTTGTTTGTTTTTTTTTGCAAAATTTTTTGTTTAAGATTTAGGATTATGCAAAGTTTATTTTCAATCTCCTTTCGTTTATAATTTATGACCATCGAATTTAATTCCCCTCATTTACCCTTCCAGATAACTTTGAAGAGACATTATTTTTAAACAAGAAATATTTAATGAAATTTGGCATTTGTTGATAAGTTTATTAGCTAGTTTAATATAACAAAAAAAATAATTGAAGTCTTTTTAGGAACCATACCCTAGGGGAGGGCTGTTAAGATTCTAAAGGGTTTGCTAAAATCACTCTATCACGGTAAAAAAGAATTTTCTGATCTATGTGGTTAGACTATTATTTATATTTTGCATATCATATATCATCTTATCATACATTAAAAAATTATATTAAACTGTTCATAACAGGTTAATATTGCACCTTTTTCAAGCTACCTGGAAATTGAAAGCTACTTTAAAACTGTTTGTAGTTGTAAGCAACGATTGTATTTTTTAACACTTCAATACAGTTTGAACTGTGCTCTCCAATTTTCTTATTTGCCAAATACTAATTGAAATCCATATGAATGGATATATCAGAGCTTGTTTGGTCCAGTAACCTAAGCCTACAGAATATAAAGAAGATAAATAAATTCTAGCTAAAGCTAAAGAAATTCAAAAAATTTCAAAGCTAAAAAAATTCAAGTTTGTTCAACTAAGAATTTAATTACTATTATCATAATAGTAAATCTTATATCAAACTTAATGATAATTTATCATACCAAAGACTTATAATCATAAGACTCTTTGTTGTAGAGAATTTGATGTGTATATTCAAACAAAATGTAAAAATAAAATTTGAGATCAGTAGTGCTTAACCTGATTTTAGGGTGATAAAGAAACTTTAAGAAAACCCTGTCCTCCATTTACACCTAATTTGATATCAACATCATTTATTTCTTGTTTTCTGTGATGAAGTACCATTTCTACAAGCTTTTTAATGTCATTGCAATGCACCATCGTTTTCTACCAACTCATTGCAATGCACCATCGTTTTTTACCAACTCATTGCAATCCACCATCGTTTTCTACCAACTATACATGCAAAAAAAAATGAATGATACAAATTGCATTCTTGATATCTTTAAAAAATTGTAGGTAATAGATTGTTTACCTGTTTTTTTTTATTAACTCCTAATAACAATGGGAATTTATCAACATTGAGTAATTTTCTAATTAGCTTGTTATTCTCAATCAGTTTAATATAAAAACCAGATTCTACAGTTCTATCCTTGCGGGTTCTGTACTTTTCTATCCTCTTTCATTTCTCAGAAATTGTGCGACGTCAATCATATTTCAAGTACTTAAAATTTATAAAAATTATTAAATTGGTTTTATACTCATCAGAAAATTATTTAAAAGTATATTATTATGCATCAAAATCTGGTATGTAGTTTATGCTTTAAAAGTAAAACTAAAATTATAACTTAATTTAGAATACTTTAGTGAAATTACTTGTATAATTAAATTACGTATAGAAAATAATATATTTTGTCATTAGAAAATATGCCAGCAGAAAGCTTAAAAATCTTAACTTTAAGCACTTCTTCGTATTTCGTAACTTCGTATTTCTCTTAAAAATAGTCCTGGGGTGGAAAATACCTTTTCTGACTCTGCGCTTGTTGGTTTAATTGTCATTAAAAAACCATAACCTTTCAGAAAACCATCACATTATGTATAACTACTTTCAAATATTGACATTTCTTTTAATAATTTAGAACTCAAAGGTTCGGTTAATTTTGACAATGACCTTATTTTTTGTTGCAAGAAAGGCTTCATTTAGTTATCTTCTGTGATAATATCTTCTTCATTTGAAAAATCTTTAACATTGTCCATGGACTTTCTAAGATGATTTAAATTTTTGACTTAAATTTTTGACTTTATTCAGAAGGTCCAACGTTTTTTTATTAATAAAATTTAATGATGTTTCAAAAACTTCAGCTATGGCTTTAATTTTCTTTATAAGTTAATACATTGAAATGTATTAACTTATAAAAAAAATTAACTTATAAAAGTGAGGACTCATTGCAGTATTTAGTTCTTTTAATTTGGTAAGCATAAACTCCAATGCAATTTCAGCAGTTTTAAAGTTTGCATCACGCCAACAGAGCACATCCACTGCTGGAATTTTTTTATATTAATGTTAATTCATCTCCCCAAGGTCAAGAAGACTACAACAGTCAGGGAGCATACCTTAATTGTAATTACAACCCTTTCTCAACTCTATAACTCTAAAACACAAACCTTGACAAACAAGACTGCTGCATAAAGAAACAAGTTGATTGCTGTACTATCAGGTGGGGAATTTGAAACTTCTTGCTTTTGAAGAGAGCGCTCTATCACTACCGCAATTAGCGTGTTTACTAGTTCAGAAACAATTTCATACTATCTGCCATTTTAATTGAATCATTAATACAGATATCAACACCCACTTTTTTTATGCAATTTTCAACTTGAAAACCTTCCAACTGTTAATAATAAGCTGCTTCATCTTATTTTGTAATCTTTTATTAAATGAAAGTTTTTATCCAAAAACGCTTTTTAGGTATTTTTGAAGGCAGTCGTCATTTTTACTTAATGATCTTTTCAAAATCAATGCAATTTATCACTGGCCCGATTTCTTTGAGAAATTGGCCCAGTGATAAATAAAGTTAGAGATCAGCTTTTGTTGATCTGCCAGTAATTTTCAATATGAATCAATTATTGGTTTTATTTTTAATATTATTATTACTACTACTTTGTAACTTTATAATTACTATAATTTCTTTGGGCCTAGCTTGGCTGCCGACATCGGATTTTTGTAATTACTTTAGGGTCTTACTATTTTCTAATAAACGTGTTAGTAATTAAATATGTTAGACTTATTGGTTAAACATACTAAAACTTATAAATCGATAATGAAAACATTGCATTGTATGAATAACTAAATTTCTTACTGTGTTGATGATGCTTTTTTTTTTTGACCCAATTTGAAATTGTTTATTATAACTTTTAAAATCTTCAAATCCTCTAATACTTCTAAAATAATCCTAAGATTTTGGGTTTTTTAAAGTAATGCATGATTTCCGGATCACAAGATCCAGGATTGCAAACCTTACATAATACATTATATATAAGTATATATTTTACCTTCATAACACAATTGTCAGTCCTAGCGTGCATTTTTCTACATTTTGAGCAAAGTATGGTAAGAAGATCTGGATTATTAGCTGAATAATCTTTCTAGAATATAGTTTTAATAAGGTTTGGATAGTTTTTTTTCTTTTTATTTAGATACAAATATTGTTGTTGGTTTGTCAATTATTAACTTTTAGCTATGGCTAGCTGTTGCTAATTGTTAATAATTGAAATAGTAATTGTAATAACTGAGTTCTAATAATAATAGTAACTAAAATAATAATAGTAACCGTAGTAACTCAGTTCTTTCTCTGCTGCAAGGTCTTAGAGCATTTTCCTATGCATCATGAAATATAAGTATATTTTAGTATCTATTATATTCTTATAAATAAAAATTTAAATTTTATATACCTTTACGCGCTGTATGTAAATGTGTGTGTGTAAATATGTTTTGTTTTTTTGATAGTCCAACAGTAACAACAACATTGAGGAATTTATCAGCTTTGTACCGTAGACAAGGAAAATATGAAGCAGCAGAAACATTAGAAGATTGTGCAAATCGCTCTAAAAAAAATGTTTGTCCTTGATAAGAAATTCTTTGCACTTTATTTAGTTGTAAACATAATTTTTGTGTATTTTTATAAAGTATTTAATGGTATATATGTTTTAATGTATTTTTATACAAGTATTTAATGAGGTATTTATTTTTGTATTTTTATAAAAATATATTTACATAAATCCCTTTTTGTAAAAATGTTTCATTGCATATTTATTTTAAAGCCTATAGACGTAATGAGACAGTCGCAGTTAGCTAGCATACTTGGAGCTGACAATAGTATGTCGCCACCTGTATTAAACAAAATATCACCTAAAACTGAGGAAATTTCTCCAGAAGAAGAAGTAAAATTTAATTTTAATTTTTGATGAAATCATAAATATTTAAATCCTAATTGTTAACATAACTAATATTATACTTAATGTTAATATAAATATTTAATTAAATTTTAAAGATAATAAACTAAAAAATAATAATAACATTAATAATAATGCTAGTAATAGTAATAATGTAATAAATACAGACCAGAGTATTCTTGCAAGTTTTTAAACAATAGCCAAAAAGTTCTGAAACAAAAGAATTTAATGTAAAGTCTTTAACTTTATTGTATTGCGTTTAACTAAAATTATGATCTGTAATAATACAAAAATAAAGGTTCAATATCTTTTGTCACACACTCTAAAAAAAATTCAATAAAATAAGCTACTCTGTCACCATTCTCTGCCATTATTACACCAACCTCTTAGTGCTTTGATGTAATAGTGGCATTTATTTTATTGTTTTTTAGTGCAGACAATGTCCAATCTAACAGAAAGTGAGATAAAATTTTTTGTTTAAACAAAAATCAGCCTTGATAATTTCCGCATCACTTTTATCTACATTTTTATTTTTCAAAACAGAATAACAAACAACTTAGTTGTTTTGAGTAAAATTAATAGTTAAATATCTTGGGGTTTAATTCCAATTAAAACTAAATTGAAGTGCCTGTTTACTGAAAAACAAGTTTTATTAGACTTAATGATTGTTAAAGAACTTGCAACAGTAGTACAATATAAGTAAATGCTGCAACAAAGAGTACTATGTAGACAACACCCATGTGTTGACAAAAAAAATCATCATTAAATTGTATTCTTGACAATTACTGCTGCAACGTCTAATATTATTACTATTATAACAAAAAAATATTAGATGATGTAGCATTACCAACTCCAACTTATTCACAGATATGTTTTGCTTTATTTGGAGTTTCGTGATAAACGATTCCCGAAGAATCCCAGAGAGGTAATTTAGTAAGATTTTTGCGCCTAAATTTCAAAATCTTGTTTGTTTATTTTTTTGTTAAAAAAATTTGAATAAAATCACTTCATATCAAAAGATTACTGTAGAGGACATCATTATGAAAAATGGGTATTGATCCTTTGTTTAATGGTTCAGCCATTGGATATTGATCTTTGCTAAAAAAAAAAAAAACCTTTTCATTTTTTATTCTGCTATTCTATATAAATCATTCTAAAAAAAAAAATTTTGTTTTTCTTGTTTATATTACTGTTACTATAAAAAAAATTTAGGAAAAACGACGCAAAGATAAAACAACTTTATCTCGACTTAAACGAACATTTAGTAATCGTGGACAAAAATTAATGGAAAAAATTAGCTCTGGTAATCTTAAACGATCATCATCTAGAGAGAACCTTGGCTTATCTTCTAAGGTTCCTCAATCAGAACGAATGTCAAGAAGTACATCTCACTTGGCTTTAATACCAAATGAAAAGGTAATTTTCAAAATAAATATAATTATGATTAATTAAAAATCAGAGTTGCTCTGATAAAATTTTTATTGTATTCTTACTTTGAAAGTTTTTAAAACTGTGTTGGATTAATTAGGTACTTGCACTGAGGTAGTACTAGTCTTTTATTTTATTAGATAAAATATATATTTAATTCCTTATTGTTGAGAAATCCACATTAAGGAAGAAAATAAAAGCATGGCTAAATTAAAATACAAAAATGTATTTTCAAATTTATCTTCATGTTCAAAATTTAAAAAATATTTTTTCTATTTTACAAGGTTTTAATTTAAAACTGGAATTGAATCCATAAAGAACGACTGCCAAAAAATAAAAACAATTAAAAATTTTTATTGTAGCAAAAACATTATAAAAAAAAGTTTTTTTTATTTTTATGTCAGACATTAAATGATAAGACTGTTAGCTCAACTTTGAATATGTTTTATCATATTATGTCTTTTTATATACTCTGCCATGTGTGGATTTTTTTATATACTGTGCCAATGTAAATGGATAGGTTAGTATGATGTTTACACATCATACTAACCTATTCATTCCTTGTTGTGTGATATGTCAAGTCTAGTCTGTTTTAACGTAATCTGTTTGATTTCTCTACTTAATTTATATATATATATATATATATATATATATATATATATATATATATATATATATATATATATATATATATATATATATATATAGATATATATATATATATATATATATATATATATATATATATATATATATATATATATATATATATATATATATATATGTATATATATATATATATATATATATATAGATATATATATATAGATATATATATAATGTAATATAGATATATATATAATGTAATTTAAACTATGTACCTACATAATATGCATGTACATACAAAAAGTTATTTGCATACAAATATTGTTTTATAATGTATTACCTACATTATATTATAATGTATTGTATTAAGGTGGGTCAAAAAACAACATTTTTGAAAAATATCTGCAGCATTTGCTTTTATGTGTTCCATATGATAAGTTAATTATTTTTGAAATTTGTATCTAGTTTCACTTTTTTTGAGACCCAACAATATATACTTTTAAAAAACTTTTTTTAATAATATTAGAGACCCATTAAATGTTCAAGGGTCTTAAGGCACCCCTAAAAGTATTTTTTATTCAAAAAACTTTTAAATCCAGTGTTATTTTATCATATAGAACACATTAATCAATCAATCAATCATTTTTTTCTGAATTAAGATTTTACATTCAAGGATATTTACAAATAGTAAATTAACTAATATAAAGTAAACACCTACTAATGTTAATAATATCTAATTAAAATAAACATAATGCTAATTTTCACATTATATAATAATAATAATAAACTTTATAACATAAAAATAACGATGTTAATAATAATAATAATAATAACAATAGCAATATGTTAATAACAATATTAATATTAGTAATAATAGTTAAAAGTAGTTAATAATAGTAATTTAAATATTTATAAAAATAACAAATAAGCATTAGTAATGACAACAAAATATATAATAAAAATTGAAAAAAAAAACAATACAAAAGACAATAAAAATTGATTATGGAAATTATAAACAATTATTATATTTTTTTAATAAAATGTAGAACAAACTGGTTTTAAAAGTTAAGAATGAATTGAGAGCTTTTAGTTCATAATGAAAGTTGTTCCAAGTTTTAATGGTTTGATATTTTATAGATTTATGAAATTAAGGTGTAGGCTGCAGATATTTTTCAAAAATGTTATTTTTTGATCGCCCTAAATGCATCGTAATACATTATATTATAATATACTAGATAAAATATATAATAATGTGCTGTATTTAGTATATATTAGTATAATATAATGTAGCTTTTCAATGCAAATCATTATTTATATTTTTATCTTATTATCGTAGGTTAATGCTGGACAATACAAGTACACGACTAACGATCGTAGTACTGTACCTCAAGAAACAGACGAGTTACTTTAGTATACTGACATTTATAATGACTGTTAACTACTTGTGAAACTGCAGAGTTTCAAACGACGGCATAAACATTAATTTTGTGTTACTGCAGAGTTTCGTACGAAGGCAAGCACAATAATTTTGTGTAGTTGCAGATGTTTGAATTATTGATTTATTGTTTTTATAGATTTTTCTATTTTTTTTGTTTTGTTACTTTGAATTTTTAAATATTAAATTATATAGGATGTTTTTTTAAAAATTTAATTCCCTTTTAGATGGTTGATAACACCTGAGAGCTTCAAATGATTTCGAATATTTAATTTATTTAATTTAATTTTTTTTTTTTGATTATTTATGAGTTTTTTTTATAGAAATGAATTGTAATTATATGCGATAATAAAAGTTTCATCTCGCTAATCTATTATTTTATTTTAAGTTTAATAATAAATAAAAAATTGATCCACTGCCGTATGGATCAATTCATGTCAACTCACTGACCAGTATAACCTGCTTACATAATTAATAGAGTAATCTAAGGCTAGATTACCAAGTGCTATTTTAGCCGCTAAAAATCATAGATCATTAATAGTGTTGCCCCGACATCATCCATTTAAGAGTGCTGCCTCGACATCTTTCATTTACTAAACAAATTAGGCGGTTCCATTGGATTTTTCACATTCAGATAATTTAAGAAAATAATGTGTTAGGTTGAGTATTTTTGCCTGTTATTTTATTGAGTCAACACGATTGCCGACTTCGACATCTAATTAGGAGCAATTAGCTATATCGCATCTTGTTATCACATCTTATTTTTGTTTTAATGCTAATAAAAATGATCAAAACATAAATTTAATATGAATAAATAATCAAGAGGATACTTTTTTAAACTCAATATGTTTTTTGTTATTTATTTTTAATTAATATTTATTAAACATAAATATGTACCCGATATAAATTTTTAAATATACGTAATTGTAATTATAAATTCCTTTAATTTCATTAAATTTAAAAAAAAAATACTAAACAATTATATGAACGCAGAGACTAAAAAGTCCTGGATCTAGAAACGCTGAAAATAATTTTAGTTAATAAAATATATGTAAAAGAAATTCACATTTCAAATTATAGAGAAGAGTTGAAGAACATTTTAAACCTCTTTTTGAACATTTACTTTGCTTGAAATAAATGTATATAATGTTCTAAGTTTTAACTCTAATAGCAAAATCAAAAAAAGTCCTTCAATTTTCTATAGTCTTCATAAGCCAAAACCAGAGTATAAATATCTATTCCGCACAAATAGTACCCTTTAAGCAAAAAAAAGCTTAACCAATTTAAAATTACTTATTATGCACCTCATATCTAGAATAAGTTTTTATTACTGAATCTAAATGCAGTCAATTCCCGCTAACTCGGACCTCCAAGGAACCAAGGAAAATGGTTCGACAAACGAATTCCTGTTAAGTCAAATTTTAGCTTATATGAAATATAAGTTCGAGTTAAGGCATTATTTTTCTTCATTCAATTCTTAAGTATATTAAATTTACACTATTATATTTATATGAGCGTGGAAATTATTTCAATGAAAGAAGTTAAGGATTGGATTCACGCAGTAAAGTCAGAAGATAACATAACGGTTTTTATCATGATTTATGTTTACAGTTTTATTATGGCATTATTTTACGCCTGATAACGATCTATTCTATTCAGATTTCAATCCAACGGAGAAAAAAAATGGAAAAAAATTATTCACTGCTAGGTCTTTATATAATTTCTTATTTTTTAACGTATATATAAATATATATTTTGAAAATATATTTTGAGCAACAAATATGTAAATATTTTTAAGAAAAATACAATAAATATATAGGTGTACTTATTATCCTACGTTACATTATAATGTGAAAATGTTTTTATATGTATGACAATGTAAAGTGGTTCTTGATGATAAGACCATTTGTTCTTCTGCAAGTTTCCAGCGTTCTTTTTATAGTGTTACAGAAGATTATTTATTATTTATGTGAAATCACTTGTGTGATTTTTTGTTTTTAAATGTATATTCATTGCTGACAAATTTTTATTTTGCAATCACGAAGTTAAATAAATTTTAAATAAAATTAACATAAAAATAGTGCCAAAAAACTGATGGTTTTAAAAATCTCTCAAAATGTATAAAATAAAATAAATATAGCCGTTTTACATTTTATTTCCAAACTAAAAGGAAATTTTTCAATTTAAGCTCTGTTTTAACATAATTTATGGTTTTTTTATGGCTAAAAAGATCCGACCCCCAACATTTATATCCAAAAACTCTTTTGTACTGAATGGTGTACGCATTTATTACTAGAAAATGTTTTAGTTTTAAAAACAAAAGTTCATAAAATAATAAAGTCACAGTATAAAACATGTTTTACTTTGTATGTGCTCCTACAACTTTTAAAATAGTCTCTATTCTTTGCAGCAATGGGACAACAAGTATTTGGTTATTTTATCACACCGCGCTTCTGCTTTCAATTTTAACTCAACTGTTTTTGATTGGATTTAAATCGGGTGAATTGCTTAGCCATAAGATAAGAACATTGTTCTTATTTTTTCTTTTGCGTTGAAAAGAGAAAATTTTGAAATGTAATTTGTAACCTTTGAAAGCTGTCATTAAAGTGTTACTTCGATGACAGCTTTTAAAAAGGTTACAAACTACAAGGTTACTCTCTCAAAAGTTTACTGGATAAGTTTTTAACAACTAGTTTGAACTTTTTAGAAGTAATGGTAACAAAAATCACGAATAACGTAAAGTAATCGTTTTTTGAATGCCCTTAATACTAGGTATAAATATCAAAGTTTTAGACAATCTTTACTCCTTATTTGAACTTTATCTTTTGCTTCCCTGTTTAGTTATAAGTTAGGTACATTCTTAAAGAGAGTTTCTTTGGCAAGGAGCTTTATATCTCTCTCCAATATTTTGTTTTGTGCTGTAGTATTTTTGCTGGAATTAAGAACAAACTGCTATATTTAAATGAATGCTTTTTTGTAAATCCAGCAAAAATCTTACCTATTCTTATCAAGACATTTAGTAGTCAGTTCTTATCTAAAAATTAATTATTAGTTGTTTTTTTTAAATGTCATTAAACTATTTTTAAACACTTTACAAACTTTTTTAAACCTTCGTCTTTCATTTGCATCTGTTATTGTGACATTTTAATACAAAAATTAAACAGTTTTTTTGCTAAACACCCACAATTATAACCTTTAAAAATGGTAAAAGTGGAATGTGATTAGATAACTTTAAATAACAGGGTTATTATTGATTACATAGCAGTTTGTAAATAGTTATATATCAGTTTATAAGTCATTATATAGCAATTTATTAAAAATTATATATCAGTTTATTAATAATAATATAGCGGGTTGTTTACAATTATATATAATACATAAAATACCTTTCCTAGTTTAAATAAAAATACATCCAGTAAAATAAATATAAAAAGTGTTGTTTAATGTTAGGTTTTTATTTAAATTCTTGTCCTATAAAAGCAATAAAAAACGCCATAAAATCAACATTCTCATTCACATTTGCTATTACCGTATTAATGTGATGAGTAATATCTTCTTTAGTATCTAAATATGGACGTAATTTGTAATATATGTTCTTTAAACATGAAAATACTTCATCTATAGGATATAACTGGGGAGAATGTGGGGGCAGATATCCGTATCTAATATTCTTTTCCCTGAAAAATTGAATTATCAGTCATGATTTATGAAATCTTATGTTGTCCATTATAAAAATTTTATTTTCAAACAATCTTGCTTCATAGCATTGTTTGAGAAATTCTAAGAAAATTTCAGTGTTGAAAGGTCCTTCAATAATTGAATGTTTTAAGATGGCGCTGACTGATGCAAGTAGACTAATGCAAGTAGACTGATATTGCGACTTTTGTTTGCAGGAACAGTTGTAAATGCAAGTGTTTTTAGGTGAGTATCCGAAATTTGGTCTTAAATGTAAATTGAATCCGGTTTCATCCAAGGATAATATTTGAGAATAGTCAATATTTTTATATCGAGTAGAATAAATTTTTCTCTCAATAATTATTCTTGACATCAGAGACCTTTCTTAATCTTTTACTTGTAATTTCAAGTTTCTTAAGGTAATAAGACATAGATGGTTGGGATATGGTTATTCCAATTTTTGGAAGCTTTCTCACTATTCCACCCTGCGTATGTGAATTGTCGTTTTGAATACATTCAGATAAAAACATCATAGCACGAGAATTGGAGCTTTGCTTGGGGCCACTTTTCTGTAGTAGGTTAAAATATGAGCAGCCGTGGCGCAGTGGTTAGAGTTCTGGCTCAGAACCCAGAGGTCCGAGGTTCGATGCCAGCTCCAGCCCAACAAGCGACATTAGTACGGAAGGAGGCGTGAACTTCCTGTTAAATGCTCACCCGCGGTGCTCTATGATAAGACCGTAAGGACTTCTGGGAGCACCTAAATACATACAAAAAAAAAAAAAAAAAAAAAAACAATCACTAAGATTATTCTTAGTTGATATTATAGACTGCCATTTTCTAACGGTGAATACTCCCAAATCAATAGCATTGGCAATTTGAGCTATACTTTCCCCTCTGTCCACTCTTATTTTTATTTGTTTAACTAATGTAGATGAAATTGGTACACTTTTTTTCTTTCATATATTTCTGACAGGTTCACTTTCATTAAAATTATTTTTCATGGAGCTAAAAAAATAACCAAAAATATATTTAAAATGATAATGATTTTCTGATGGAATAACGTGATAATAATGGATGAATATATCATTTATTTTTTAAAAATTATATTATATACAAACGCTATATAATTATTAGTAATTCGCTATATAATTATTAATAACTCTGTATGATAATTAACTCCATTCTTTCTCCAGCTATATTTCAGCTGTTTGCACCCATGCAACGCGTGATTTTTCACTGACTTATCAGCACTTATTAGGGTGATCTTTTTTTTAGTTTTTACCATTGATTAAAAATGTTGAAAACCAAAAATTATGAATTTAGGATTACTTTTCGTACCTTCACAATGACAATAAAAAAAGACAACCAAAAGTTTGGGTTAGAAGGCAGGTAATGCTTTATGCCTTAGCAGCCGAGTTTTCACATCTAAAGTTTCATGAATTCGAAATTTTCATGAATTGAGAGCCTAGGGCCTAGGATATAGTAAAACACGGGCCAAGCGTAAGTCTTAAGCAAAAAG